CTGATGTTATTTGTATCCCACTGTAACTTTACTGTATAAAGAGCAAACATCTCCAACATGTCAGGAGTAGTTAGTCATTACAACAAGTGTTTGTGAACTACAAATCAAGAATGTGGGATCCTGTTTGTCCGTGATTTGAAGAACCCAGCGCTGCTCCCGATGAAGGGAAAACCAATCCTGCAGGGAGACCTACCTCTGCACCTGTGCAGGTGAAGCCAAAGGGAAGATTTGCTTCACCGTATTTTCTAGTCTTTGGCTTAGAATGAAGTTGGTTTGGAAACATATTCAGCGATGCTTCATCTCTTGCTTTGCGTTTGTGTGGGAGCCCGTGCTAGCAGTGTCCAAGCGTTTTCTTTTTGTTTTTTTTCCCTTTTCAAATCCAGACGCGTGAACGCAACCCATGCTGACGTTTGCCATCCCTGTCGGTGCTGATGGAAATAGGTTTGGAGTCCTTTTGATTCCACTTTGCTGAGCCAGTTGAGAGGAAAAGGCACCATGTGCAGCTTTCTGACTGTGAAGAGTACAGAGGCATGAAGGCCTGTAGTGCACTTCATGCACTGTAAACTCACCTATGCTCTCAAAAAGTGAGTACAGAAGTCCGCCATTCGAGCGGACGAGCGTCTCAAACATCCTCACATCCTAACCACACAGTTTAGTTGTGTTTCTAAGCCTTGTAAACGTTAACGCTGTGTTCAGATCAAACATTCAGCAGTTCTGCCCGAGGTTACCCTGTGCGTAAAGTAAAGATATTTTCACAAAAAATCCTGTCATTTTGCTTATTTTTCTCCTGCGTCTTCTTTTGTTCTGCCTCTATATAAACGATGATGGGTGTTACTGGGAGAACCAGTCCTGCAGTCTTTGTACGAGCTCAAAGGTCAAACTCTTAGATGTAGAGGTATCAGGCGAAACGTCACCTGAAGTCTTAAATGAAGATCATTGTTCTGTATTCAAGGCTAGTCTGAGTTTTTCTCAGCAGTCTTGAGGATGTGAGCTCGTTAATGTGTTTGCCACCTGCAGCAGGTTTGAGACTGCGCACCACATAACCTGCAAATTCAGAAAACTGTGCGAAGAACACGTTTGCAGAAGGATTCGGTGCATCTGTTAACTCACGGCTGGCATGTGGCATCCCTTCTGTTAGTGCAGTAATCCCGAATGTCTAAACAAGGCCATATCTCACCACGGCGACACCGGTATCCTAGCAGCTGCACCCGATGGTGTTTGTTGGCACGGAAACAGCACAGAGGCTTAGAGGCGAGCGCACACACAGAGACAGACTGATGAGTCTTTTCAGCTCTCTGTAAATAAGGTAAATGCAGGATGCAAAGTACCGGGAAATGTGCAAACACGGGCTTTACTACCCAGAGAGGATATCAGTCAGTCAGAGACCCCGTCTGCAGATATATTATCAACTAAACCATCAGATGAAGCTGATGCACAAATGCACAGAACATTTAGGTGAATTAATCATGCACATGTGAGCCTCACATCTGCATTTAGCCCCACTTATCCTTCCGGGGTCCCCTTACACTGTGACACAGCTGCAAGCGTCGCACAATCAGCAGCTACATCTGGGAGCTCAGTTTGGCTGAACGCACCACAAGTGTTGCCTCGGTCTGATTCATGCAAATCAGCGACGCACATCTTTAAAGACGGAGTGTCTCAGCTGCTGCAGAAGTCAGCTGGCTGCACATGTTTTGTCACATGTGCTTTTTTCCCTCTAATTAAGACTTCACATACCCCATGACGTGGAAGGCTAAAGGCTCATTTCTCCTCCAAGAGCAATTAATAAAAGGGGAGAGCGTCTGTGAAGTGTCAGCAGCCCTCAGCAGCAGCGACACAAACAACAGCAAAGTGAAAACAGATTTTTAGATAATGACCCAGACACAGCTCGCTCCCATCGCACTGCGAAATAATTGAATTCCCTCAGTTATCATCAGGAGCACCTCGGAGGTCAGATGAGGGAAGCTCTGCTGTGACAACATCCTTAAAGAGGAATCCCACCAGGACCTGAGGACATGAGCGATTCTGGTCGTGGAATATAGATGTATGGAAAACAGTGTGTTTGACTGCAGCACAGACGACAGATCGCCGTCAGCAGGCATCTTCTGCTCTTGAGCTTCAGGCTTTTCTGGTATATTCATGGTTCCCTCAGTTACAGCAGCCCAGACCATCACGCCACCACCTCCGTGTCTGCTGCTGCTGTGATGTTCTCTTTATGAAACGCTGTTATTTTGATGGACTCAAACCTTCTCGGGGATCATCCAGATGTTTTCTGGCAGATGTGACACGAGCCACGGTCAGCAGTGGTTTTCTCCTTAAACTT